CGAACCGAGATATTAACCGAGCCGAACCGAACCGACTTTCGTGGTTATGGTGCAGTTATGGTATGAACAAAAATTTGGTGGTGCGGTTATGATTTTAGCCGAACCGACCCCGAACCGAACTGTTGCCGTCCCTAGAAGAGAGGAAAGGAGAGGCGACGGGAATTGGGGGAGAAATGAGGTTAAGAATTAGGTTTTAATATACTACCTGATTTTACAAAAATAAACTTAAAACCTGACTTTTAAAAATGACAAACTAAACCCCTGATTTTATATAATTTTCCCTACTAAGAATTAAAGAAACACAAACAAAATTACCACAAACTAAGCCTTGTATTTGTATGATGAGTACATGAATGGTGGGCCCAAACCGTGCCCAAGCCAGGAATCAGCAATGACATGCCAGACCACTACTAGGCTGCCCAACCTGTTTCGACACTCCTATACATGGCGACAACTTGAATAATCAATATTAAATTTTTTAAAGAAATAAAAATAATTCTAGACTAGAAAACAATAGAAACATCAATTAGTATTATTCCCCACCCCCACACCCATCCCCTTCAAAAAAATAAAAATAAAAAAAATCGTCCATGCCATCCAAATGTCCATAAAGTACATGACAATTCAAAGAAGGTATTCTATGTAATGGAAGACAAAGGCAACAAAAGAAACTCGTCTCTATATTTAGAACATAAAATATTTAAATGGCCATCCACATCTGCTATTTCCTAATCAGCTATATTCTGCCAATATTAGTGAAAATTGGCTTTGAATTGTCAAAACCATAATATTTCATATCAAAACCATAATATTTCATAAATGTTAGCACAACGTAAAGATCATTGATCAGCATCTGGGTAGTTGAATTCCCAATAAAAATTATTCCAAGGCATTTGAACAAACTAGTCAGCATTAAGGGCTTCGAGTAGCCTTTTGAGATCTTCAAGGTCATCAACCGGATTAGCAGACTCCTCTGAGACGGGTGGTTTTTGAAACTCATCTGCGCTTGGAAGCTCGTGGATGAGACCCTCTGGCAGAGCACCTGAAATAAATGTTTTTGGCAGATAAATACGAGAAGTAAAAAACCAGCTTGGATGCCAAGAATACTTAGTAAAGAAAGTATAATTATCATTATAGTTAGTTTGTATCATATGAAGCTTTGACATTCTCTCTCTTGTAATACAAAAGGAGGACAGTTCCTAATAGGTATCAAGTTTTGGTGCAGGAGTCCATTGAGAGTATAACATGGGATGACCATTAGTCCACCTTTCTACAAAGCAAGTTTTCTCAACCACGTAATTTTATCTTTTTCTTAAATGTAAATTCTCCGGCAGCTCTAACTGTCATTTCATGTTCCATGTCAGAAGTTTGAAACAAAACAAGGAATTTTGTTCATAAAAGCCTCACAAAAGTAATCAATGAACTATTTCAACATATTATGTATTTTAACTCGTCCCAGAAAGAGATTGTGACTATATATTCAATTTTCACTACCCTTGTTTGATCCTCATTATTTCCAAAATACATTTTTCTCTTTTTTTTAACCACATATTCTTCAATAAAATAATATTACACGCTAATCCAACTTTCCTTATTTTTTTACCATACATTCACTTTCAATCTACTATTCCAAAATGCATTCTTAGGAAAAAATGGGGCTCAACAGTATAACGTGACATATATAAGAATTCTTTTGTTTACTTTACTCAATTTAAAAAGAAATATTTTCTTGACCCATTTGCATATTTTGTAACGTGTATCTACTCAAGTTTAACAATGCACATATAAGAGGGAGACGATGCAACCATAGAAAATGAAACAAATAACCTGAAATTTTTCCGACATCTGGGCCTTGCAGATCAGTATCATCGACAACACTGAATCACAACAAAGATAAATATAGTTGTCAGTAGCCTCCCAGGAAATGAGGGGCTTACCAGGTTACAGCGACTAAAGAGGATCTGGGAACGGGCAAAATCATTGACTTGGAGTGTCAGAAAGTAAATGAATTAAGACAAGGTTTCTTCAAAAGGCCAAAATGAAAATGAAAAATCAACCAAAGAGTTACCTTATGTTCCATTCATTATCTTCATGTAGGCACTCTGTTTCTGATGGTGCTTCTGCCTCCATCTTGGTTTTCGCAGCAGCATCCCTGGCAGGCTTTGCAAGAGCGTATTCTTTCTGCACAGTTGACATATATTGACCATTGAAGTGAAACAGCATTATATATATATATAGACACACACACACACTCTAATGAATGGAGAGAAGTCTTAAATCCAGGTCACTATACCTGCCTCTCCAAACAAGCAGAATTAGAACATTGAGGATTTGGCTTCATTTCCATTGTTGGGAAGTAGTCTTTGAGGGCATTATAACCCTGAAAACAAGTAACAAGAAAAAATGAGACACTCTCTCTCACACACAACTATGTATTGCAAGTATGTATGTGTATACGCACATAGTTATGTAGACATACTCATAGACATATAGATAATTAGTTAGATGTGTACATAGGGGTGTGTGGTTGGTCTATAGCTTAATTCGACGGAAGAGCTAGACATTAGAAGACCACTATGCACAAAAGAAAGAAAATCATCTAAAATATGTGGTAGTCTTATTTCTGACTCCTCAAAATGATTGCAAGGTCATATTCACCACTCGGAAAAGCTCACCATAAATACCTAGAAAACATCTCATATTGAGACTAAGCACAATCAGCCCCACTTTACCTGTCCAATACTTCCACTAAGAGAATCATATGATACAACTTCAATTAAAGGCCTTCTAAGGTAGTAAGATGGACAGACAAGGTCGACTTGGGAATTTTGATACGAGGATTATGTTGTGCAAGGGTTGAGAGGTAGCAAAGAAGCTGGAGACAAATTAATTGGTGGCAAAAAAGTTGGATCTTGATTTTTCATATTATTTCTTGTATACTAATGAAATTGTACATTACAAGACTGATCCAATTGCATGGATTAATGTAGCCAGAACATAGGGAAGTTCTATTTTGGGTGTAGATAGAGTTGAGTTTAATGTAATTTTTATACAAATATTTGTTCAGCATACATCAGCAAAAAGATCAACATATGGAACCACCGTTTCACTCATCAAATTCTTTTTGAGAAATGTTTTAAAACTGAAAAATCAAACCAAAAATCGAAAATGGTGCCAAGAAAGCACTACAAGTTTAATAACTGGAATTTCAAGAAAACCAACCTACCCACACTTTATTCAGAGATTTGCTTAACATAGGTCAGCCAAAAGACACTCCCATAATTCAACATATGGAACCACCATTTCACTCAAACAAAAAAAAAAAAAATCTGAGAAATGTTATGAAACTGAAAAATGAAACCAAAAATCGAAACTGCTATCATGAAAGCCCTGTAAGAGATCAACTGAAATTTCTAACAAAACCAACCAATCCATTGTAGATGAAGGCACAAGATTAGATGCAAAGAAACAGTCATCCATACATGCCTCCAGGGATCAATTGGCTTATGGTAATTAGTCAAGAGTCAGACAACACACATAAGAACCACATAAAATCATTAGCTGACATTCTTTGAAGGTTTAGGATAAGTCATGTCAGTATCCTATAAGAATAAGAATGCAATAGCAAGTCAGCACAATCAAAAACATGAAATTCTATTTGAACAGTATTCCCACATCCTGTAGGTCATTTTTGTTGTGTGTGGGGGTGGGAAGCTTGTTCAAGACTTACCAGATATGGGGTGACGTGGCCAAACTTTAGCAAGTATTTAAGTGTATTTTGTACAAGAAGCCCGGCAACAACTCCCTGTCAAGTCAAAAAGACTATCATAGAAAATAGATTGTATACCCTATGTTTATTAGAGTATAAGCAGCTACTAACTTACCATCTAGTGGTCTAAACATTTATATACAAAAAGAATTGAATATGACAAATAGAAAGCTGTATAGAAAAATTGTAACTACCACAATCAATTTTTTTTAATGATAAGAAAGAGAAGAATTGCAATTTTAATTAACATTAGATGATTGAGAGGCAAAAAGAAAAAAAAAAAAGAATCACAAGATCTGATTATTAATTCTGATCAATAAACATCAATGAACCTAGAGAACAATAGGATAAATTGTCATTTCAAGGGCTTGAATATTGATATTAACAGAAGCTCAACCAATACTATGTTAGATGCCAAAAGAATAGGCGTACCATTGTAGTTGGTAAAGATGCAGCACAAACCCCTTCACGCTTCAATGTACGTTCATCAATCCCAGATGCAACAACCTAAGATGGATAGTTCCAGGCACAACAGATTATTCATTTTACAGTACAGATTGCACATTAAGAAAATCATTTTTTTTTCAGGAAACTACTAACAGTCTAGCCTATATGTGGCTCGTGTTTATAAATACTAAAGCCATTTTTTGTTCACACATTTCGAGGGATCCACAAGTACTACCCACTTATCCACACTCATCTCTATCTATTTATAATTTAAACCATTTTAAAACACTTCCAAACGTGCTTTATAAACAAAAGCGAATATTGCCGCATGGTAATGTTATGACTAAAAATAAAACTAATCTACTTATTATGACAAATTGCTAAGCACTGTTGTCATTTTTAAAAAAGGCAGACAATCTGAATCAAGTGCAATAACCACGTAGATTAGTAATTAAGGCAAAAAGATTATTAAAAAAAATAAAAAAATAAAAAATCCAATATTTAGACCAACCAACTTCATGAGGAAAATTTCACCGAGGATAATAAACCTACCAAGGGAGGCGCACATGCAAAACAGGCAGTTTCGCCAGGAACCAGCAACTGTATATGACCTGAAACAGCATTTTCAGATACACCTGTACAAAAAGTGTTGAGGTACATTCCATGCGAGGATTAGTTGAATCAATATATAAATCCTATATTTCACCAAGTAATCACCAAAGACGGCTTGTTGACATGAGCCAATTATGATGCACCGACACTAACACGTGTGTACATGTGTCGGATACCTCGACACACGATTTTTAAAAAAAAATACTGACACGACACATTGTCAACACGTTGATTAAATTTTTTAAAATTCTTCATTTATATAATATAAATTTAGTTTTATACTTCGTATTAATTTTCTAGTTGAAATCTTTTAAATATAAATACCTATTTATTATTTAATATTAATTTTGTGTTAAAAACATATAATAATTCTATAAATAAAGAAAAATGACCATGGCAAAGTGTCTGATAGTGTCAGTATCTGATATATGTTGAACATGGACAGAGACATGCCAACTTAGTTGAAATGTCGGCGCCGTAGTGAGCCAAAGAAGAGAAAAGAAAAAATCACTGTGGATGATTCATGTGCTATCCGATTTCGATACACTTAACATAATTCGTATCAATGGATGTCTCAAATATGCCAACGATCCTAAAAAGTTTCTAGTATAAATTTCATGTGCGAACTTGAGCAAAATTATTGACTGGGAGAGCAAAGAGGACGACTTCATTTCGCTATTGGGTCCTAGAGCATGCATTTTGAGCGTATACGGGTGCATATTCAACTAAACCAACAGTTCAAGTCTCATAATACAACAAAAGCCAAGAAATAAGTATGGAGGATTGCAAAGAAATTGAGATGGCTTGCTTCCCAAGACCTTAGCATTAAGCGAGCAGAGATCCTCTTTATATTTTCAGAAAATGAACAAATAGATTTCTAGTGTGTTCAGTGTACAGGAATTTCAGAAGATATAAAGTGTCACACTAAAAGGTTTAGTTAAATTGATGTTATAAATAGTATCAACATAATAACATGTAACAGACACGCACAGAAAAACATATGTCCGAAAAAAAAAATTCTATGAAACAATCTGTTGAAAAAAAATAATTGCTATGGAAATTCTCCAAAACAATTGCTTTAGAATGAAGTACCCAGAGATTTTAGTTGTTATAACTTATAAGAGATGGTTAATTATAAAAGGTTCAAATGTGCATAGACTGTGACTGATACATCAGATTACAATTTCTAAAGCAGCTCGACCTAGCATATCATGCATATAAAATTAGAGAAAGGAATACATATAATGTGCACCCAAAGTCATATGCAGGTTTTACTTCAATTACATCAAGCAAATCCAAGCACAATAGACATCACAAAGGAAAAATCAAAACAGCTGCCTTGCAGGTATTATGAAAATGCAATACATATGCTCACAAGTCACAACAGGCTAAAAGAGATGCAATACGTTCCCCTGGCAGTTACATGACCTTTTCCTCTTCCCTTTCCTATCTGCTAAAGTGGGGGGAGGGGGGGAGGGGAGGGGGAGAGAGAGAGAGAGAGTTGTCTTTATGTCATTAATTATCTAATATTCAGTTCTGTAGGTTAAGTGCAGGAGTTCAAATAAATAATAACCGCAAGGGAAAAAAAATGAAAAAGGAAAAAACTCTATTGCTTGAAAGTGGAATGTACATTGATTCATTGCCATTGTCAACACCGAGTATAGCATCAGCAAGGGCTTAAATAACTGTAAAGAAGACATTATTCTTTCATAATTTAAGCGTGGATGAATCATTTTTAGCTATTCAAGTAGTACTAGTAACAAATAATGACAGCCTCAAACCTTTCTGCCACTAGATCAAGTCTTCATTTATGAAATGGAGACAACACTTGAGAATTGAAAACATTTCTTTTTATATCTAATCACCTCTCTTATTACAGTTCTCGAAATAACATTACGTTTGCACCCAACATGATGCATACAATCAAGCAAAACAAGTTTCATGCAGATATGAGATATGTAACAAATAGCAGGAATATCTTGTTACTTACCAGATTCCATCCATGTTTGGTTCAACTCATTGCAAGCCTGCAACACAACATAATTTAGCAATAGAATTTACAGTCGTACAAAAGAACGGCACATCTAATTTTCTACCTTCAGCTCCGCATAGTGTGGAAATGAAATTACAAGGCATTTAACCAAAACTGTGGGTATTGTAAAGTTTGACATAGAATTTTTTGCTCTTACCTGATTCACCACCATCCTTGCTTCATAATTATCTACACAGCTTAAAACAAGATCAACTCCACAACCTTCTTTACTTGGGCAGAATGATTTATTCCTAAGACTTGACATGAAAGTTTCAAAGCCTTGTACTGTTGTGATATTTAATGTATAGCTCTGAGAAACAAAATCAATTGATCAACACCACAGAAGCCAAAAAAAATAACTAGAGAAAGCAGATTGTGAGAGAATGTGAGAGTTGCAAAAAGGTAAAAATGATTGCTGAAACTTCACCTCAAGTACAACATCAGGATTTATGTCTGATAGAGTTTGGACAGCAGCATCTGTCTTTGTCATGCCAGCCTATAAAAAGCGAATACAAAATGTATTGATACTATGTTTGAAATAGGAATAAAGCGGAAAAAAAGAAGAAAATCTCTCTAAAAAAAATGGAGGAATAACATTTTACTCAACCCTGCAATCTCATACGAAAGAGTTTGAAGATGGCAAGTATTTCAACGGTATGTTTTCCAAGGTTTCTTGCACTTTCAATTCAGACTAGAAAAGGTAATTATTTCCACATGGATCACACCTCTTAAATTCAACTATACTTTTCTTCCGGATCATTTCCCTCTTTTCTTCCAAAATAAAAATTCACAAAATATTACAGGTCGAAAACCTACCCCTTTTTAAAAGATCTTACGTTTCTCCTAGAACCCTTATGGTGTAAGTCATAACAAGTAAACTAACAAAGTCTATGGGTGAAGATTCTTAACAAGATTAATCAACATCAAATAAGTGAGGTTCCTAACTATTTCATGAGGCAACCATTATAGCTGCTGAGAATTGAAAATATTTCTCGAGGAACACCTGCTCTGGGCGAAAAAATAGCCGGTTCATGTTAGCTAACTCCACTGTGTCATAATCATACAACAAAAGGCGACCTATACCACACCTTGTCAACATCTCAGCTGCAACACTGCCAACACCACCTATACCCTGTAATAAAAACAGTAGAATCTAAGCACCAGTTCAGTATAGATACCAATACAAAGATTGCAGAAGATATTAACCTACAGACTATAAGTAAAGGCATTAGAGAGATTAAAGGTTCAAAATCAAAGAAGGAAGGAAGCTTGAAAGGCATGAATTTCTCTGATATATGTAAATATTCTCCATTATAAAGTAACAGAAAAAACAGAAAAGCTAGGTTATTGCTATACTTGGAGAATAATTAACATTATTAAGCATGTTCATTACAAAGTAGTGCACTAAACTTTTCTAAAAGAAAAAGGATAATAAAACAGATACAAAAAGAGAGGAGTTAGGTACAGACAACTATGGCAACCGAGAATTCCCGAATTCTTTCATAATTGTCCACAATACCCATTCTCTGAAGCGCCATAAGTCTGCTGTAGGGATTGCTATCAACCACCTGAGCGCTCATATCCTGAAATGCAATAATAGGCATGCACATCTTATTGAGCTTATCGCTTCACTCAGATAGAGCGTTTAATGATACAAATTTGCAACACAACAACCTTGATTTTTGTACGTTGCGCTGGCCTTGATGTTGCTGTTGTAGAAAGATGCTCAAGACATGATTGCATCTACAAACACAACACAACCATATCAAAACACTATACATGATGATACTATAGATACAACACATAAAAGTAATATTTAACAACGAAGTTTTATGGTCATCACATATAATAATTCTGAAGTTACGTCTCAAGTAACTAATGTTCATAAAGGTTAAATCAGGTACTTTGACAAATGGCGATGGCGCGCCTCAAGACATAAGGTTTGAGACTTTTAAGGAAGGCCTTGCATGACGCTCACCTCAAGGTGTAAGCCTTGGGCAAACAATGCAATCTGCTAGAGTCAAAGTTGCGCCGCTGTGAGAATAGATATTCTAACCATTGTCATCACACATAATAATTCTGAAGTTATGTCTCAAACAACTAATGTTCATAAAGGTTAATCAGGTATTTTGACAAATGGTGATCGAACCATATGTTACGAAGCTCTTCACAAAGCCTCACATATGGTGCGTCTCAAGACGTAAGGTTCACATGATGCTCGCCTCAAGGTGTAAGCCTTGAGCAAACAATGCAATCTGCCAGAGTCAAAGTTGCGCCACTGTGAGAGTAGCTATTCTAACCACTGCCTACTAAATTTATTTTTATAAAGTCTCAGAATTTGCCACCTGGATAACAGTCTGCAACCGTAGAAATATTAAAGCTGCTTGCGTGAATTTATTTTATACTGCCAATGTGTAGGATATACCCCCTAAAAAACCAACTATATGACAATGTAAACTAGATTAACCAAAATGTATCCCACAGGAACTCCAATGGAACCTGGAGGTAAAAATTCCTTGTTTAGATGTCATCTCTCTACCTCCCAATTTAATTAGACTCCACAGATAGCCTTGATTACTTTATTCCAGATATCTAACATTTATATTTACTGATTTTGTTTTCGACAACGAAATAACATCTGGTCCTGAATTTTATTTCTGAAAACAGAAATATAAAAATTTCATACGCTCCCACACACCTTCAGTTCCAATTTCGGTAGTAATTCCAGTTCTGGGGCCGAAATTTCATATCAATACAAAAACAATCAATAAAGATATAGAAATAACCCATAATAATTTCATACCAACCCAAACAATTACACTTAAATGAATACCTTTTCGATCAGAGCATAATGAGATCGATCTGGCAGAGAACTTTTGAGAGTTTTGAGATCAGTTAACAACTCTTTTAGCTCCCCATCCATTTTCCACCGCAAAAATCACAGTTCCTTAATTTAGGCTATAAAATTACTTTGTCTGAACAGATACAAAGAAAAATTTATGCTTTTCAACACAAAATTGGAGTAATTAAATACTTTTTAACACAAATAAAGAAATTCTGGTTTAATACAAAAATCTACGATCGGAATCTGAAGTTTAATATATAAGCCGGCCGGTTTGGTTTATGTAGCCCGGGAGGGTAAAGGATCCGGTTTACATCAAGTATGGTGAACCGGGCTTTGAGTCTGTGACGGACGTGACGATATAGGAACGAATAGGAAGTCGCCACGCAGACAGAGGAAGACTTGGTGGGCTGGATGCCTTGCAGACCAGCTGAAGCAAATATAATCGGACTTTATGCAAATCTATAAAATGACGACTTATGAAAATAGCACTAAAATATGTAAAATATCAATTTTATTTTTCGTTTTTTATTTTTTAAATCTGAAATTCTTTACTCGCGTACGAACAAACAAGAGGTTCAACCTTGACAATAACAACATTTTTAGTTTTCAAATTCGAAAGTTTGTAAACGAAATGTGCTCCATTTTTTATTCTTAAATGATCGAAACATGTTTTAGGTATTCGATAAATTTTAAAAAAATTGATTATAGAAAAATCTTAACCCCGTATATGGATGACAAAAAAATTCGACAAACTCGATACTCGCGAGGTTCAGCCCCAAACGGGGTGGGGAATTTTGCCCCGGGGCAGGACAGGTAACGGGCGCCCCACCTAGCCCCGCCCTCCTCGTTTATTTTTTTTTTTAATTTCTTTTTAGAATTCAATACTTTAAATAGAAAATTTCATAAAATTTCATTAGTTCTAATATAAAATAACAACTAAAATTATTTGTCTAAATCTAATGAATATGAGCAATAAAAATAAATTATCAAAAACTAAAAAAAAAAAATTTTAACGGGGAATAAATAAGTAAAGGACCTACCCCCGCCCCACCCAGACTCTGCCCCGCCTTAAACATGTAACGGGGCGGAGAATTTCTTAGTGTGGTGGGGGCGGGGAGGGCCGTCTTGCCCCGTTGCCATCTCTAATATGGATGATGATTTATGAAGAAATATTTTACCGAAAATATTAGAAGAAGTAGAAGAAGAAAATTTCAAAAAATTAGGAAAAGAAAAAATTGAAGAAGATAATGAATGAGGAGTTCGATTTATTAATAGAAAACTTTGAACAATTAAGTTTAGAAAATATAGATGNATTAAATGGCTAATCATGAATTAACAAACGTTGATATTAGCCCCATCGAAAGAGGAAGAATATAATATACCATTGGCAAAGCATAGTTGATAAGAAAGCATGATTATTTATTGTGGATGCTCAAATCCTTTCCTATGAGGACATGGCTGACTTAAGAAATGAAAGATGTCACGTATTAACCAACCCTTACATGGGAACAAGCATAATGCTCTCTCTCTCTCTCTCTCTCTCTCTCTCTCTCTCTCTCTCACACACACACATAGTTGAGTCGTATCTATGTATTTTGTACATAATATTAAATAGTTGTATAGTATATTGTGTAACATTTTTATTTAAATTTCTTTTGAAATGTTTTATATAGTGCGGCCTTACCAAACTGATCCTCCTACATTATATATAAACGCTGATTTATTGTTGTTACTCCTTGTCTTTGAGGCCTAGTGAAACGAGACCACATGGCACGACACGTTGACAGACAGTCAACAAGAAAGTCAAAAGAAGACCAGTAGGTCAAACACACAAAGAAGACAAATAGGTCGAGGTCCTCGCACAACGTCTGAAGTCCTCGCACTGCATGACAAAGTTTAGGTTGAGACACTTCTTCAAAGACGAAGCTGCATAGAGATGTTGAGAGAGGAGCTGAAGTCCACTTGAGAGAACCATCTCAAATCTCTCCAAGGCTCTCTAACTCATCCGAAACTCATAAAGTCGACGTTATCTCTTGTAATAGACTTACAGATCTTCTAGAAGTGGGTGATGTAAAAACTTGTAATAAAATTGTCAGTGTGTCAACCTATTGTATAGAGCGGCGACATCTTATCAATGTATTAATTGTATGAATAGACAGTGATGTGATGCCTCAATTTGAGAGATGAGGTCATGTGGTCCTTACATGGGAACAAGCATAATGCTCTCTCTCTCTCTCTCTCTCTCTCTCTCTCTCTCTCTCTCTCTCACACACACACACACACACATAGTTGAGTCGTATCTATGTATTATGTACATAATATTAAATAGTTGTATAGTATATTGTGTAACATTTTTATTTAAATTTCTTTTGAAACATTTTATATAGTGCGGCCCTACCAAACTGATCCTCCTACATTATATATAAACGCTGATTTATTGTTGTTACTCCTTGTCTTTGAGGCCTAGTGAAACGAGACCACGTGGCACGACACGTTGACAGACAGTCAACAAGAAAGTCAAAAGAAGACCAGTAGGTTAAACACACAAAGAAGACAAATAGGTCGAGGTCCTCGCACAACGTTTGAAGTCCTCGCACTGCATGACAAAGTTTAGGTTGAGACACTTCTTCAAAGACGAAGCTGCATAGAGATGTTGAGAGAGGAGCTGAAGTCCACTTGAGAGAACCATCTCAGATCTCTCCAAGGCTCTCTAACTCATCCGAAACTCATAAAGTCGGCGATATCTCCTGTAATAGACTTACAGATCTTCTAGAAGTGGGTGATGTAAAAACTTGTAATAAAATTGTCAGTGTGTCAACCTATTGTATAGGGCGGCGACATCTTATCAATATATTAATTGTATGAATAGACAGTGATGTGATGCCCCAATTTGAGAGATGAGGTCATGTGGTCCTGATCCAACGGACACGACATCAACCAATGTAGTATAATAGGTCATCTTTGTAATAAAAAGGGGATGAAAAATAGAAATCTGGATGATCATATGTTCAAAATATACATTTGAACTCTGGAAAGAAACATATTAACATTTCATCTATCATTCAACATATTCTTGTCTGTTATTACATAGATTAGTTTGGTTTCAAATCGGTAATCATTGCTAATGCGATTGCTTTCGTTCTACCCGTCGGAGCTCGAACAATTTTGTATCTCGTCGCAAAGTGCCTCCCGCGTCCATTTCCACATTGCTGCCGTCATCATTCCGGTAGGAACATGTCAGAATCGTACTTGACTTGGCATGAGTGGGCTCGACATCTGTTGATTCATTTTTTGGTGTCAACAAAAAATACATAAGAAAAATACTTCGAATCATTGTTTAATCATCAAAGATGACTTGGAATCAATAATTTATTATCTAATGAATCTTTCCATTCTAGTACTCTATACAAGGGTTATCAAAATTTATCAATTATGTTCCTATCAAATGCCACGCTGTATTTACCAAGAAGAGCATATATCCAATCCATTTCATGAGATACAGTGGATCTTGAGTCCAAATGTGTAATTTACTACTCGAGGCTTGAGTCTCATATGCCATCTCGTTGAACATGTTTAGTTCTAAGTCATTCTTCAACTCTTTAAGTTGGTTTCTCGAGTTCATATAATATTTCGGTTAAAATGTAAATAATACAAAATCTTATCATCACTTTTCTATAAAGTCCTTGTATTAATGTTAACAAAAGGGAAAAGGTGGAGTTCAGATTGCTTATTTTCCCATTAGTGGATGGTGATGAAATCTTGGGTCCATTAATTATTCTCATTATCTATGATATGGTTTAATGTTCCAATAAAAACAAGACAGTGCTCGTTACGGCCATTTATTCTTTATTCTTTATTCCCTCTTTCCATGCATAATTAAGTCGTGCCATTATCAAAATGCTTCAAATAGAGAGTGCTATAATGGTGGTTGGGCGTGGGTGTGAGTATTGTGGGTGTGCGTGGGGAGCTAGACTCAGCGGAGATGGGGTGCAAGGCGGTGCTTCCACGTCCCCACTCTTGGTCGAGCTCGTTTCTACATAACTGCTCCATGACACTAAAGAGAGCTATTTAGTGTTATTTTATAGAAGCACATATTTAAAGGTGTTAGGAAATAGGAACGAGGTTATATAGCACAATATGAAATAGCAATCACAATAGAAAAATACAAAAAATTTGGCAAAAGAAAGGAAACTTCACTATAATATGGAAAAAGAATACAAAAATATTATGTTTACAATATTGTTAACTTTTTAAATTGTAATGAAGAACCAACTATATATAGGATACATTGTCAAACCTTAATTATAGTGTTAAAGATGGAAAGAACATTAAAAACGTGTGGAATAAAGAAAACAGTCTTCGATCGAAACACAGCGACATTCGAGTGTTAGTCGGCACTAAGCAAGCGGCATGTTGGCGGTGAGCAAGCGTTAGGCAACCTACTTTGAGCACTCAAGCGAGAGTTTGGCGTGCAATGAGCGAAAAAACGTCGAAATCATTCTTTGGTCCATATTTTGACCTTTTCAAGGCCCACATCAACTAATCCACCAAAACGCAATCGAATTTAGGTCAAAGATCAACAAATATCTACTTTAAACCAAATTCTAATGCAATGAACAAATTTCAAAGATTCTCCACTTGAAGACAAATTCTACTGCAAGGCATTAAACTAAACTCTTCGACAAAACAACAAACAAATTCTCCAACAAACAAAATTATCCACCTCTTTCACAAAATCTAATTAGAATAAACTCAATAACTTTATGTCAAATGAATCTCAGTACTGCTCAGTGAGATTATCTCGGGTACCAAAGTTGCTCAAATTATCATCACGAACAACAAGATCACAAATAATTCAATAATCACCAAATAGGGGCAAAAGCACACCCTATAATAGAGTCAACATTGCAAACTATTTTTGTAGAAGGTTCTTTGTTATACTCAACACCTTCAATCACATTTAATATCATGCTCTAAACGACATACATGAAGCGGGCAACAAACACAACAAAATCAAACATAAATCCGATTCATCATACTTAACCTCCAAGATTTTCAAATCAGGGACAATTTCTTTAAAGACAGCAAGATGATATTCTAAAGATGTACCTTTTGTAATATGATGAGAATACAAGTGTTGCTTCAAATGCAATTTTTTGGTTAAACTCTTCATTATGCATAATTGCTCCAACTTTAACCAAATGAAACTGTAGTTTTCTCCTTCAAAACGTCCTAAAGAATATCATTCGAAAGATAAAGATGAATCTGTAATAGGGCATTTCGATCCTTACGATGTTTCTCCTACATTGACCAATTTGAGGGCATCTTGTAAAATCCTAACAAAGCATAATCCAAATCCTTCTGAGCAAGCATTGCTCACATCTTCACCTGCTACAACAAAATCTAGTGCTGCGATATAAAAGTGGAATATTATATTTCATGGTTGTCATCACAAGAACAAAAAACTTAGGACAAATAAAACCTTAAGCTCTGATGCCACTTGTTAGGAAATAAGGAAGAGATTATATGGCATAATATGAAATAGCAATCACAACACGAGAACAACACGAGCGATTTGGCAGAGGAAATAAGAATTCACTATAATATGGACAAATGATACAAAGATATTGTGTTAACAATATTGTCTAACTTATCAAATTTGTAATAAAGAGCCAAATATATATATATATGAGATATACATTGTCAAATCATAATTATAATGCTAAAGATGAAAAGAACATCATTAACGCTTGGAATAAAGAAAATAATTTTCAGCTGGAACACAGTGACTCTCGAGCGCTAGTCGATGTTGACCGAGTGACGTGTATCCTTATCGTTCCAGTCATGGAATAGATGAGATAAATAAAAAAATAGATTTTTGTTCAAGAATGAAATCTTAATGGAATTGTTTCTTTAAATGGTATAAAATGGTTAATTGTTTAGCTTGTCCTTTTATATTAACGAGTTTCAAGTAAATACTCATGAAAAATAATTCTACTGTAAAATTTTATTATAAAACAAGCAATTGTAGATATCAATTCCAATAGAAATTAAATTCTTGTAACTTAGGCATCTTATCCTTTACAAATTAAAAGAATCTAACGTGACACAATTTTTAGTAACGGAATTTTACACTATCGAATCTCTCAATAAAATTCTTAAATCAACTCGATTTGATATGCGCAAGATTATTTCGTATCTTTCTTTTCTCTACATTCTTTCGATTGTAGCCAAAAAATTTAAAAAAATAAATTTTTTTTTGACTTTTGTGATTAAAACTAAGAACATATTCACCTATCTTAATAAAGAATAATTTGGTGTGACTAAAGTAGATCCAACTAGGTTGATTCTAAGTGCTAGTATTTTTTTAATGTTAAGAAGAAATGACATTTGATGATCCCTTAACTGGAATGATGCTACATTTTATTATGCTTTATCCATTTGGAAGGTTAGATTCAAATCTTGATTTATGAAAATACTTTGAATAAAGGTTGGCAAATGGTTGTAATTCGGTGTACAAGACTCGTACCGACTTAACTAAAATTCTATACTCCACCGTGTACATGTATCTTGATGGACATTGAATATGTAGTTGATGCTTGAGGTTGTAATACGTAACAAGATCAAGGGTCTATTTGACAAGACTTTCGAAAAGTTCAGAATTATTTTTTAGAATAAAAAGCTACTTTTGAATATGTTCGAATAATTTTTCAAAAGTGTTTTATCTAAAGTTTTTAAGAAAGCTGATATAAAATAACTTTATAAGGAAGCTCTTATACAAGAAACAAAAATGTATATCTGAAAGAATTTATCATAAAGCAAATTATGAGACAAAGCTGAAGAAAGCCAATTATAATTTATGGTGGCTTTACCAACAATTCAATTTTTGTTCGTATCTTGCTTCGTGATTGCATTCTCTTTGATGATGCACACACATCCACACTCGAGATTTTGAGTGCGTTTCTCCCGTAGATTGATGGATAAGGGTTTCCATTTCGTTCGATAAAAAATAAAAATAAAATTTTAATTTAAATAAAAGTCAACAACATAGGTAAACCACATATTTTATTAATCACACATTTCATTAACGTTTATCAAAATTTACTGAAAATCTGATTTTAATCATCAACAAATAAGGATATAAAGATGCCAATTCTCGAGTCGACATATTGTTCGAATAAAAAGTTAAATTCTTAACGTTTTATTATAGTTACATAATCGATTTCTTCCGTGGCATAAAGTGTCAAAATCTTCATTATGTTATCACGTAGGATTAAGCTGTTTGATTCATCTGGGAAAACCCTATCACATAATACTTATCAGAGTATGTCTCATGTTAAACTTTTTAACACCATCGTTGATTTTATATTTTAATATTTAATCAATCATAGCGCTATTAAACAAGTCTTTTCATACCTTATCGACTCTACTAGCGGCTAAAATTTCTCAACGCGTCGTTTTCGAAATTAGGCACGATGCTTATCCACAATCACGATTAATTAAATAAATCGAATTTAATCCTATTCATAATCCATTTTGTTTAAGTTGGCAAAAATTCGAATACTAGCCCACATGAGCTATGTACGTGGTATTAAAATATGCCAACACCAAAATCGTATGCACAAAGACCAAACCTTTTTAATTACAAAAATAGGTTCATTGGGGGTAGATATATATTCTATTTTCTTTATAGAAAGTTCTATGCTTATTGGGCTCCACAGTGATTAGCCACAATTGCTCGCTAGGGACCCTCTAACCACCAAATGGGAAGAAATACGATCACGAACGCGTCCTTTTACGTGTACATTCTATAGTCGTGTCACTGTGACAAGTAATTGTCACGGTAAACTAAGTCTACGTTTGTCCCTCATTATTTCAAATTATAATTTTTTGAATAATAATTTTTTGAAAAATATATGGTTAAAAACAGTAAATTAAGCTCCATCTGCGCCATGTCAATCAATTTAATCTCACAAAATTACTCACTTTGTTGTCTCGTGCCGAATTTTATGAAATGTACCCTCCCAAGCACATTTATAACTAGAAATTTAGTCCATGTTTGGTCCTCATTAAATTAAAATTCTTTTTTCCGTCTCTTCTTTTCAATAACAAAATTTTTAATAAAATAATATTACACGTAAGCTTAAAAACTTTATTTTATTTTATTTTTTAACTATACATTCTCAAAAAATTTACTATTCTTCGCATTAAAATGGGAAATAATGGAGACCAAACAGAATATTATATAAATAGATAACGATAAAACTTTATATGTACATGTAATTGCTATAATAATATATGAAACTACTATATGGGAAGAGTCATGTTAGTTGTATAACCGAGGTTGACAACCACTCACATTAGGGGTCCATTTTTTTTTTTGAATTTTTTAAATATGCGAACTCCACACACATGCGAGAGGTTGTCAACCTCAGTTGTGCAAATAAAATTTTCCATATGGGAAATACATCGGATATGTAATTGCTCGGTTAATTAAGAACGACGGGGTGGGATTGTTCGGGACAGCACCCTGATGCATAGGATCGGAGTCTCCTCCAATGGTGTCTTTGTTAAAAATAACCTGGCCAAATCCATGAGTGACCTAAGCATAGAGCACTGTCCCCACATCCTTTTCTCTCTCTATAAATACATCTCACCTCTCTCTCTCTCCACAGCACAAATTCAAGCAATTCCACCATTTTTATCTTCTTCATTAGTATTTCCTTTCTCCCATAAAAGAGAGAGAGAGAGAGAGAGAGAGAGCTGTAATTAACACTGCACCATCAAAAATGACAGCAGAAGAAGCAACAATAACCGCAAAAACAACAGTTACTCCGCCGTCTGCTACCACCATCCAGCGCTCCCCGTTGCACTCTCCGGTGCCGTATCTCTTCGGCGGGCTGGCGGTGATGCTGGGACTTATAGCTTTTGCGCTCTTGATCTTGGCCTGTTCGTACTGGAAACTCTCTGACCAAATGAATGGCGCCGGAGAGGGTGAAAGAGAC